ACCTGTTGAGAAACACTGTCTTCATATTTAAAAGTGTTGTTTTGAAATAGCAAATGTTAATATCAGAATTATTTTCTTGGCCATGTTTCAACAGGCTTGGAAAGTGAATCAAAGTTTCTCTTTCAAAATCTTGAGCAAAAACAGATAAATTGTTTTCAAATGAAATAACTTCTAACATCAAAAAAACTGTGTTTCCTTTCCCCTGTAGTTTACGATTAAGCTGATTTAGATGAGACATAACTTCTACCATGAAATAAAAGGTTTGGATCCACTGATCGTTCATTAGTTCTGGATAGTGAACACCCTTCTCAAGGAGAAATGCTTTAATTACTGTTAATAAGGAAGCGAAACGTTTCCTCTTGATAACCAACGTACCTTGTTATGCAGCAGAAGATCTGCATACTCACTCTCCATTTCAACTTAAAATTCTTTAAATTGGCGATGATTAAGAGCTCTAGCTATAATGGAGTTGATAATCTTAATAACCAATTCCATAACTTTGCAAATTTCTTCTGGAAATGTCTGCGCACAAAGTGCTTCTTGATGAATGATGCAATGGTAAGTAAGTATCTCGTGATTAATTTTTTCTTTCAAAATAGCAACAAACCCGTTTCTTACACTGGTCATACTTTTCGACCCGTCTGTTGAAATTGAGACAATTTTTTTGAGTGGAATATGATGTTTTTCAATGCACTCAATTATAGCATTTGCTACATCCTCTCCACGTGTTTGACCTTTGAGTGGCAATAATCCTAAAAGTTCTTCTTTAGGACCTGTAGACGAAATAAATCGTACAAAAAGTGAAACTTGTGCTGTATCATTTATGTCACAAGACTCGTCAACTGCTATTGATAAAGCTGAAACCAATTTAAGATCTTTGACTTGCTGGTTGATTATATTCAAAGACATTTTGACTGTTCTATCTTTCACTGTTTTAGCAGACAATGGAAACTTTAATTTTTTTTAGAATATCTGCTTTGTTCTTAAAATCCCAAAATAGCTCTTCGGATGCATTTATAAAACAACTTTTTATGTATTTGCCATCTGTATATGGTTTTCCTCTCTTAGCAATCTCTTGACTAACTACAAAACTTGCAATATTGACATTGTTGGAAGATTGCATCCAGTAATTAAATACAGAACTTGAGTTTTCTTGACTCTTCTGAAGTTCCTCAACTGCTTTCTTCCTTGCATCACTGACAGGATATTTAGTACTAAATAACACATGATTAGTTGTAAAGTGTCTCTCCAAATTTGATTTTTTTGTTATGCGCCAATTTTTCCTGACAAATAAGACAGGTCGGAAGGCCATTTAAGTTTTGAATAAACGCAAAAGTCTCGGTCCATTCAACTTTAAATTCACGGTTTTCGTCTTCCGTTTTTCTTTGCTTCTTCTTTGTAGCCATGTCAAACAGGGCACCTAAAAAATGTTTCATTTTATAACAATAAAGCTACCAACACAAAATAATTACAATTCTTAAATTGATGACAAAAATACCTGTAGGATTTGCAGCTAGTTAGAAAAATACAGGTAACTTTATGCTCCGAGTAGGTGCTTTTGTCACCCACACGTGATTTGCAGACGCAACGAGCACTAACCACTGCACAATGAGACTGCTCACTGACTGGCTCACTCAACTCATGCATGAATCGCGCGCGCCTCCACCGCGCTGCGTATCCCATGGCCCGCCTGCATTGCGTCTCCCGTGGCCCGACTGACTGACACCCCCCACTTCTGAACCACTTCTTGAAAATAGACTCGCCCAGGCCAAAAACCGACTTCTGCGCATGGGCCACGAAGTTTCAATTGCACTGTATGTGCGTGCCCACACGTGGTATTTTGTGGAAGAGCCACACTCAAGGGGCCAAAGAGCCACATGTGGCTCGAGAGCTGCAGTTTGCTGACCACTGACCTATACTAATAAAAGGGTAATATGCTAATTAGGATGGACAAAGCCTCAGTGGCTGGGAGGCCTGACGCTCAGGCAGCTGTGGGCTCAGGCAGCTGTGGGCTCAGGCAACTGCGAGGCCCAGGGGCTCAGGCCTCGCAGCCACCTCAGCCAGCAGTGGCAGCATCAGTGGGGTGATGGGGGTAGTGCCTTCCCCTGATCAACCTGGTTGCCTCCTGCAAAGGGAGGCCAGACTGCAGCTAAGGCCCAGTCCCCATGGGGACAGTGAGAGGGGGCAGGCCGGGCTGAGGGACCCCCCACCAGTGCATAAATTTTCATGCACCGGGCCCCGAGTATAAATATAAACTGGTGGCCAGATTATTATGATCGGCCAGATTATTATGACCACCCCATCAGTACTTCATTGACACTTCCAAAAATACTGAATACTGAAAACTTCCTAAGCAAATACTCTCAAGGTTTTATTGTATGTTGTGCTATTCAGATGTTTATAATGGTCTGGCCCTCTAGCAACTTCACTTCCGACACCCCCCACTTCCAAACCACTTCTTCAAAATAGACTCATCCAGGCCAAAAACTGACTTAATTATAGCTAATTTGCCTACAAATGTCAGGTGGTCATAATAATCTGGCCACTCAGTGTACTTAATACTCTTAAATATTACACGTAAACATGGTTGATGTAGTAAGCAGTTAGACAGCCATGAGCAGAGCAAGGATGATAGGCCAGGTACAGAAGGTCACTGGGGTGAAAAGCCCCAGGCAAAACTGGGCTGATACCTAGCTTCCAGGATTACCTTTCCTCCCCTAGCATATCACTGGTCATGCGGTCTAGGCCCCCTGACCTTTCATATCGCTGGTCCTGGGGCTGGGACCCTCCCCCAACCTTTCCTCCTCTGGCATATTGCTAGTCATGTGAGCAAGACCCCCTACCCTCAGAGTGGGAAAGAACCAGGGGGACGAAGAGTAGCCCTTAAGCATTAAGCCCCCAGGACAATGAGGCTTTGGCCCCCATCAAATACATGTAGGCCTCATCCAGCCATGGCTGACATCAGGGCCAGCTGCCCTGACAAATGACCCTGCCCTGGCGCCAACAAATCAGTGGGGACCACCTAGAAAGCTGATGAATATTCTACTGAGATTCTCCCCTGATTCATTTTCTTCTCTCTCTCTCTCTCTCTCTCTCTCTCTCTCTCTCTCCTTTCTCTCCTCTCTCTCTCTCACACACACACTTGAAAGCCTGTCTTTCCCCACCCTTTTCCTCCAAGGCACTTTTTGTCTCTTTCCCCCTAAGCTCCAGGGGCCCTTCTTTTGCTGTAACTTGTTTTTTGAGCCCATTTCTTCTATGGCTCACTGTTTCTACCTCTTTGACTTTCCAAATAAAAACTTTCTCTTATAATTTGAGTCTTGGCTGTGAATTCTTCTCTTAGCCAGAACTCAGGAACTGAGGTTGCTGAACCCAGGCCCAATCGCCGGAAACAACTGGTGCCGTTTTCGCCGCCAACAGTTAACACGGTAAATGTTGTTATGTGTATTTTACTACAATAAAGAAAGCTGAAGGGAAGACAACACGGATTACAGTCCCTGTCCTCTGGTGTTTACAGCCTCATGAGAGGCCAACCAGCAGGTGGGAATAGTGCTCCGGGAATGCAGACTAAAGGTTAATACTGAGGAGACCCAGCCCATTTCACGAAGAAGTTGACACAAGAGGGAGGCCATTACTACTTCCTTCAAATGCTTCAAACCTGTTGAGCAAAAGCCTTACAGTCCTGCTGGCGGAACAGAGGGTTCCACGGAACCTGACCGCCTTGCCTGTCCTCAGGGTTGAAACCCTGAAGCCCGCTCTGGCCCAGCAGATGGCGCCGGGCCCGCAGCGCACCCCCAGGCCCAAAGGGGGCGCTCTGGCCGGGCCTCTCCTCCCCTCCCTGACCCTTTCGCCGCAGAGCCCACGTCTGCGCCGGCGCAGATGCGCAGCAGCCTCCGCGGCCCGGGAGCAGCATGGCGGCGTCCTCCGCGGGCGAAAAGGAGAAGGAGCGGCAGGGCGGCGGGTCGGGGGCGGCCTGCGGCAACAGCACGCGAGAGCGGCTGCTGTCTGCGCTGGAGGATCTGGAGGTCCTGTCCAGGTAACGCCGGGGCCGGGGACGGGCGGGGCTGTCGGGAGGGCTGCTTCCTGGGTGGGCAGGGAGGGAGACCCCGGCGCGCGCGGCACCCAAAGACAGTGCCCGAGTGTCGTGGGCGTGGCGTCCGCGGCCCTCCGGCTCGCCGCGACGGCGCCCCCCTCGCCCCAGAGGACATTTTAGTGACAACTGTGACCCAGGCATCCCGAGACCGTCAGAACCGCGGCAGACCTTAGAGATTGCGGTGTGAACCCCTTCGACCACAGCCACTGTACAGACATTTCAAGAACTACCACCAGGTGCCAAGCGCAGGAGGACGGTCGTGAGGGGGTCGACGTGGGGAGCCCACTCGCTGTAAATGGGGAAGACTGGCTGTGGACAGGGACGCGAGCGGGTTTCACCAGGGGCGTGCGCCGCGGCTCCTGCGACACTGGGACTAAGTGCCGGTCCCGTGTAATCAGGTTGGCTTCCCGGAGAAAGGGCTGCGTGGCAAGACCGAGTTTCCCAGGGTCCCTAAGCGGCAGGCGGCTGGAGCAGCAGTGATGTGTGTTACTGATTTCAGAGGAGGGGGCACACACGACTGTGTGAGGTGAACAGTTTGGGATGGCTGCGGAGCATCGTGCCTGCGCAGAGACATCTGATGAAATTGCACGTCCTTTTCTTCCGTCATCTTTCATGATAGTCTGTTAAGTTGGTGCCCCTCTTAATTTCCTCACGTTCACTTGGATGTGAAAATTGTTTTGGTTCTTTCTCCTAAAATGTTACTCAGATTTGACCTCTTGTTCCCATCCGCACTATTTTACATCCCATCAAAAATCTTTCTTAATGCAGCCTCCCAACAGTGTTAGTTGCCTTGATGCATCTCCACTATATCTGTCTGTTTTGCCCAAGAGCAGAGCTATGTTTTTAAAAGGCATCTCAGATCACTTTTCTGCTTTAAGATATTCGTTAGGTTTCCATTTTCTGATGAGATAAAGTCCATATTCTTTAGCTAAGTGTACAATAGATAAAGCCATTCTCATCTCCTCTTAATCCATCCTATTATTCTCATTTAGGTCACATCCCTCCAGCCTCCCATGCCCTTCATTCCAACCTCCTGAATGCTCCCCATTCTAAAGCGAGTCATACTTCCTCAACTCTACTGTCATTCCCATTCCACATCCATCTTGATAAATCATTCATTCATCCAGCTCAGATGTCACCATTTCCACAGCCAACATTCATTGACAGCTTTAGAATAAATCTCATACATTGTATTACCTGGCCTACTAATAATCAGCATTTTATCTACTGTGATTTAGTTCTTGCCACAGCAAGCATTACTTACTAAATTACTAGGTCAGCACAATATTAAATGATGTAGTACTGTAAGTTAAATAGCTCGTGTTTAATTCATGGTTTGGACTGTATTGGACTCAAATATTGCTTGACTACAAATAGGACACATGGAATCGTCAGGCATCCAGCAGTCAGTACAACGAACAAGAAACTCAGACACAAGGCAGCTGTCAGTGCGTTGCCCCTGTGTAAATGTTCACAAATATAGCAAGTGCTATATTTCCTTCTGTCTTTGTTGACTTTGTAGTTCCTGGTTGAGACCTTGATAGTTAATCCTGTCAATGAGTACCAGGATGATTTCTTAGTAAAAAGACCCTAGCACAGGGGTGGGCAACCTTTTTGTGAGTGCGTGCCAAAACCAGCAAAATCTCTGACTCACAATTCTTCTGTGTGCCAACCCTAATTTTTTGAGAACATGTTACGCCTACTTGATATCTCTTAAGGTGTATGTATGTGAAGAACCTTGAAGAAATAATAAAATTCATTCGAGCGACAAAAACACACTATATGATGGTGAAAAATACATTTGTTTTTTAATGTATACATGTACAATGATAGTCCGACAGAAAACTTCTGATCTATGGTCAGGGAGAGTTAAGGCAGAGACATAGAAATTGGTCTTCCCCTCTCTCGTCAATCCAGGTCTATGGTCTTTAAGATCACTTGTTATGTAAAATTATTTATTTATCTAAGATGCACCTACACTGAATTTATCTGAAAAATAAAAAGGTCGATATTAAGAAAAAAATTGTAAATGGAAGATTATAAGAGAGGGTTTCGCGTGCCAGCAAAAGTTACTGGCATGCCATGTTTGGCACGCGTGCCAGGGGTTTCCCACCCTGCCCTAGCAAGACAGAGTTTTCAGTTAAATAATTTGTGTCTCTGCTGTGTGTCATGACTACTTTTAGGACACTAATTGAAGATTCATTTAGTATATGTGGAGGGCTTATTCTTTGGAAGTTATTAAAGATCAAGTTAACATCCCATAAATGCTAACTAGCCCACTGCTTTTCTAAATAGGACCAACTGTCATTTGAAAAACAGTGCATTCATTCTAACAAGTGCTTTCAGAATCATTGGTCATCCAAACAGTCTCTTTGAGTACCTTGACATGCCTTAAGTAGGTAGCCATGTAGTTGTGATACAAATTTGTGTTTCATTAGATTCAGAACAGCTAATAATTAATTGGAAAATACTTCTGTTGCTTTTGTATGAGCCAATTCCTGTATGACTCAATTTTTTCACTTTTTGAATTCTGAGTCTTCTGTTTGAAATGGTCCTTTGAACTATTTCTTCTTTGGGAATAATTCTCACCAGAAAGCCAAGTCTAATACTTGATTGGCTTCTAAAATCTTTGCTAAGGAATCTTGATGATGTTGAGTATGAAATCAGTCAAATTAAAATGTTCCTTATCATTTTTTCATTTTGACCAACCATGTGATATGGATGGTAGTGACTAATTTTTCTGTAAATATGTTGATATTGTGAAGAAGTGACTCACTCTTTGGGGAGTTGTGACTGCTGCCTTTTGTACGGAGTGGGTCTTAGTCTTAGAATTTCAATATAGTCCCTAAAACATATTTCATATCCACTAATTTCAGGAGCTAAAATTCTTAGCCTGCCCATCCAGAGTAATGGTCTTGGAGAGTTTTTTCTGACATTGGACAACACAGCAGTCAATCTTGAGTTCTTGCCCCTGGATTGTTGTGCTACTGAGCTGTGTTTTCCTAATGCTATCAGTACCTGTCAGAGTGCTTATACTTGATATCCATGTACTCTACACTTGAGATAGCATAATTAATTTATAAGTTACATTAAATTTGAGACTAACTTGAAATTCTCTTGTATCTAGATTTGATCAATTTGTCCTACTTTGTATTTAATTCTTTCCTTGATTACCAAGTATAGCATTTTCTGTGTGGTGAAATGTGTTTACTCACTGATGTAGTGAATCATAGTTTAAATTTTCCTCAAGAACCTCACTGTTTCTGAAACTTTCTTCTTCAGCGTTCCACTTGTACATGAAAAATTGAAATGCTGAGTTTTCTGTTCCTCTAAAAGAAGCTGTGTTTCCTCTATTGCTCTTTTTCCTAGAATGCCAAAAAGACTTTGATTTGTCGCCCTAGCCGGTTTGGCTCAGTGGATAGAGCATCGGCCTGCGGACTGAAGGGTCCCAGGTTCGATTCCGCTCAAGGGCACATGCCCGTGTTGTGGGCTCGATCCCCAGTGGGTGGCATGCAGGAGGCAGACAATCAATGATTCTCTCTCATCATTGATGTTTCTATCTCTCCCTCTTCCTTCCTCTCTGAAATCAATAAAAACATATTTTTAAAAAATACTTTGATTTCTCATTTATTTGTAGTCCTCATTGAATCTATTGACAGGTGATAGGCTTCAGTAATAACCATTGTGTTAAAAGTTCATTTTTCTTTTTCTCTGATTTTGCTCTTGACTTATCTACTGTCATGCTATTTGTTCATCTCTAAAGAAGGACAGGGTGACAGTAGATAAGTGAAAATTTACCTCTTCTATGATCCTGGTGGTTTGTCATTTTCCTCTGAATGAACTTTACTCTTGTTTCCGGTTTTATGAAAAATGAAAAGTTTCTGGTTGATGTAACCTCTAACTTTACAAAATAGTTTGAAATATGGGATATATTTTTTACTGTTACCTGATTGTGTAGCTTTTCAGTATATTTATTACTTTGTAAAATGAAATAGAATGAGGTAGTCTTTGTAGAAATTAAAAAAATAAAAACATAGATGGATTGTAATCTAAAAGTTTTTTTAACCTGTTTGTAATTCAGAATTCATTGTCCCACAGAAACCATGTTGATAGTAGTCTTGAAGTTTCCACACCGGTCTGTTAATTCTGTGTACCTCTCATTTATCTCAAGTGTAATTCAGTTAACCCTTGAGCAGTGCAAGATAGGGGCACCAATTTCCCACACAGTGGAATATCCACATATAACTTTGACTCCCTCAAATCTAGTAGCCTACCGTTTTTCAGAAGCCTTCTGATAACATAAGCAATCAATTAACATATTTTGTATATGTATTAATACTGTATTTTTTTTTACTAAATTTTAATTGATTTCAGAGACGAAGGGAGAGGAAGAGAGAGAGATAGAAACAGCAATGATGAAAAAGAATCATTGATAGGCTGCCTGCTGCAATGCTGGTGACTCCGGACATGTGCCCTGACTAGGAATTGAACGGTGACCTTGTGGTTTTAGGTCAAGCCACACTGACTAGGCGTACAATGGATCTTACAATAAATTAAACTAATTAAAAAAATGTTATTAAGTCATAAGGAAGAGAAAATACATCCTCTTCCTAACCCTTAACTTTGGTTTTATTTTTGTATTTTCTTAGTTATTCACTTGTATTAGAATTCAAGTGCTAATTTTCACTTTTATAACCCACACATCTAGAAAGTGCCTGGCAAGTAATAGGTACTCAAGAAATATTTGACAAATCAGTGTATAAAGACCTTCCATTCCCCATCTACTTTTTTCATTAATTAACTAATTCAATATACAATGCTTTGGGAAGGTTGAGTCTAATTGATACCATCCAGAAAAAGAGTATGAGGCTAGCAGGAAGGAAGGTGAAAATAGAGGTAAAAATAGCCTGGCAGCCAGGGAGAAAGTATAAACACTGGGGCTGACTAGTAATGTGAGGTAGCAAATTGTGAAGTTGTCCCCTCCTGCATAATTTCTGAAAAATCTCATCTGTCAACAAATTTGGAACTGATACATAAATATTACCTGCTAGTCATCTTTTCCTGGTAGAGATAAGTTAAGAAAGCCTCTAGTGTATTTACATTGCAAAGAGTTATTTGTTTGTTAATTATTTTTTGTTTGTTTATTTTCTTCTTTCTCTCTCTCTCTCTCTCTCTCTCTCTCTCTCTCTCTTTTAGGGAGCTCATAGAAATGCTGGCAATTTCAAGAAACCAAAAGTTGTTACAGGCTGGAGAAGAAAACCAGGTAAGTGGCTGCTTTTTTAATTCAAAACCAAACCATAATTTCCGCAAGTTTCCTATTTATATTTACTTTGTGTGAGAACAGAAAGATTGAATCATTTTAAGTTACTAATTAAAACTTTTAAATTGATATTTGTATCATTTACATAAGGTAACAATGTGATCAAGAAAGTAGTTGTCTAAGGGTTTAGCAGTATTATTTTCTATAGTTCTAATTGCAATTACCCATTTATTCATTTTTAACTTTTGAATCATCCAATAAAGTCTTGTTAAATGGAGATCAAAGTAGTTTCTGGAGTCAAAAAGGTCAGTGCTCTCATAAACTAGCCCTAACGTGCAAATCGACCAAACAGTGTAATGACCAGTGGAACGACCAGTCGCTAATACATGCACTGACCACCAGGGAACAGACACTCAACGCAGTGTCTGTTCCCTGAACAGAAAATTCATGCACTCGGGGGGATCCCTCAGCCCAGCCTGCACCTGGGACCCCTCGGGGGATGTCTGACTGCCAGCTTAGGCCCACTTCCTCGGGGGATTGGGCCTAAGCTGGCAGTCAGACATCCCTCTGGCGGCCCAGGAACACTTGGGGAGTGGGCCTAAGCCATTAGTTGGACATCCTTAGAACTTCTGCGGAGGTGGGAGAGGCTCCCGCCACCACCACTGCACTGGCCAGCCATGAGCCAGCTTCTGGCTGAGCGGCACTCCCCCTGTGGAAACGCACTGACCATCAGGGGGCAGGTCCTGCATTGAGCGTCTGCCCCCTGGTAGTCAGTGCATGTCATAGTGACCGGTCATTCCGGGTTGTTCTGCCGTTAGGGTCAATTTACATATTGCCCTTTTATTATATACTAGGAGGCCCGGTGCACAATTTGTGTATCGGGGTGGTCCCTATGCCTGGCCTGCGGGATCATGCCGAAACTGGCACTCCGACATCCCTTGAGGGGTCCTGGATTGCGAGAGGGCACAGGCCAAGCCAAGGGACCCCACCGGTGCATGATCGAGGCCGGGGAGGGATGCAGTAGGTTGGCCAGCTGGAGAAGGACTACGGGAGGGCTCTAGGGCATGTCCAGCCCATCTCCCTCAATCCCGATCGACTGGACCCCAGCAGCAAGCTAACCTACCAGTTGGAGTGTCTGCCCCCTGGTGGTCAGTGCACATAATAATGACTGATTGATCGGTCAGACACTTAGCATATTAGGCTTTTCTATATATAGATAGTAGTGCAAAACATAATTTATTTGCTAACATCTGAACTAGTTAAAATTTGTTCTCCTTGTCCACTGGTTTGGAATTTGGAAATAACTTCCAGCTTTACCTAAAGAAGAGGGAAGAAGTCGGTGTTAAATACTTCAAAAAATACTTTAGCTCTTAAAAGATATAATGCTTATCATCAAATTATGGGGAGAAGATGGTTTTACATTCGTCTTACTTGATGTCAAAAAGATGTATAGGAAAAGTCCACATGTGGTCCTGGATTGCGAGAGGGCACAGGCCAAGCCAAGGGACCCCACCGGTGCATGATCGAGGCCGGGGAGGGATGCAGTAGGTTGGCCAGCTGGAGAAGGACTACGGGAGGGCTCTAGGGCATGTCCAGCCCATCTCCCTCAATCCCGATCGACTGGACCCCAGTAGCAAGCTAACTTGCCACTCAGACCATCTGCCCCTGGTGGTCAGTGCATGTCATAGCGAGCAGTTGAGCAGCTTTAGCATATTATTAGCATATTACCCTTTGATTGGTTGAATGGACAACCAGACACTTAGCATATTAGGCTTTTATTATATAGGAGGACTAGAGGCCTGGCACATGAAATTTGTGCACGGGTAAGGTCCCTAGGCCTGGCCAGCAATCAAGGCTGATCTGTGGGGCAATCGGGGGGCCCCCATGGCACCTACTGTGCCGGCCTGGCACACCACCCCACCCGAATGCCCCAACGCTGCCATCCTCCGATCTCCCTGCCGCTGCCATGGGTTGCCTGCCTCTGCAGGGTGACTGTCAGGACCATCAGGGGGCCCCCCGCTGACACCCACCTTGGCTGGCCTGGGGCCTGTGGGCTGAGGGCAGCTCCTGCGTTGAGTGTCTGTTCCCTGGTGGTCAGTGCATGTATTAGCAACTGGTCGTTCCACTGGTCATTACACTGTTTTGTCGATTTGCACGTTAGGCTTTTATTATATAGGACTAGAGGCCCGGTGCACAAAATTCATGCACAGGAGCGGGGATCACCTCAGTCCAGACTGCACCCTCTCTAATCCAGGACCCCTCAGGGGATGTCTGACTGCAGATTTAGTCCCAATCCCGGGGATCAGGCCTAAACCAGCAGTTGGACATCCTTCTCACAATCCTGGACCACTGGCTCCTAATTGCTCACCTGCCTGCCTGCCTGGTCGCCCCTACTGCCCCCCATGCTGGCCTGGTCGCCCCTAACTGCCCCCTGCTGCTGGCCAGGTTGTCCCCAACTGCCCCCTCCCTGCCAGCCTAGTAGCTTCTAACTGCCCCCACCCCGCCGGCCTGGTCACCCCTTACTGCCTCCCCCAGCCAGCCTGGTTGCCCCACACAGCCTGCATGTTCAGTCATTTGGTCGTCCCTCACTAACCCCCCTGCCAGCCTGGTTGTAGGCAGCATCTTGTGAGGGCATGAGAGTTAATTTGCATATTACCTTTTTATTATATACGATTGGCTTCCCAATTTTTGTCCAGTCTCTTCCCGCATACCCTTCACCCCTTTCCCCCTCAAGAATAGCCAGTCCA